TTTTTTTTAATATTTATTTTTTAGTTCTCGGCGGACACAACATCTTTGTTGGTATGTGGTGCTGAGGATCGAACCCGGGCCGCACGCACACCAGGCGAGCGCGCTACCGCTTGAGCCACATCCCCAGCCCTATAGTCATTTTCAAGATGGGTCAGAATAGTGTCTAGTTTCTTTCCTCAAATTTAAGTAATGAGGCTAAGTATTTAGAACGGGGGATTCAAACTCTTATGGAATGCTGAGCTTCCAGTTCTCTTATACAAGGGCAAAGTTCTTGCTATTCTGTGAGTTTTTTGATGCCCTCTATTTGATTCAGGTTAACCCAAATTTACAGATCATTCCAAGCGCAGCTTGTTCCAGACACTAAAAAGGAACAGAAATACATCTGATATGGTCCCCATCTTTAAGGAACTTAGAAATTGAAGCAAATAATGATTATGACAGCAGTTAATACTTTGTTTTCATTCTTTCAAGCACTGTTCTACAGTCTTTTATGTATTAACTCTTGATCTTTGAGAAAGTACAGTGAGGTAAATACTATTATCACCACCATTTTACAGAAGAGGAAACAGATATAGAGAGGTTAAATAATCTGCCCAGTGTTACAGGTAGTAAATGGCAGGGTCAGGTTGAAACCAAGACAATCTTGCTTTAGAATCTTTGTTCTTAAACATTACTTTACACTGTGGATCAGTAGTTCTAAAGTATAGTCCTTAGATCACCAATATTAACCTCATTTGGGAAACTGTTAGAAATGCACATTCTTGAGCCTAATGCAAACTATGGAGGCAGTTCTCAGCAATGAGTGTTTTAACATGCCCTCTGGGTGACTCTGAATGTTGCTATTTGAGAACCTCTGCTGAAGAGAAGTTAGGCATGCTAAATAAGTGTCAGAAATTAATCTCCACATGGGTAAGGACTGGGTGTGATCCATCTCTTAAGCTCCCATATCCAGTATCTGGTGTGAAGAAAGCATCCAACAATATTTATTTATTTATACTGGGAATTGAACCCAGGGCTTTGTACTTGCTCAAAAAGCAGTCTGCCACTGAGCTACATCCCTAGTCCTTTTTAAATTTTTATTTTGAAACAGGGTTTTGCTAAATTTCTCAGACTGTTCTCAAACCTGTGATCCTTCTGCCTCAACCTCCTAAGTAGCTGAGTTATAGGCATGCATCAGTGTGCCCACGAAAAATACATATGAATGAATACATACAAATGTGTATATGAGAACGTGATGTTTAAGTTGAATCTCTTACTGTCACTATCCTATCAGTGCAACCAAATGGTTGGGGTGGTGGTGGTGGTGGTGGATGCTCCCAGACACTGTGAGATTAGCAAGGAAGTAGGTGTGATATTTCTAGCAAGATGTGATAAGGGTCTGCACCAGCACAAGGAACCATCAGAATGACAGGGGAATCACGTGAAAGTAGTTCATGAGGTTAAAGATGTCAAGATATCGTGAACAGCTTAATAGGGGAAAGGAGCAAGACAGAGAGAAATTGTCTTTTCTGGTGCGAAGATTCCATTCATTGAGACAGGAAGCACAGGACAAGTACATGTTTGTGGGGAAAGGTTTTAAAGGGTTTGGACTCCTTAAATCTGATTTTAGTAGAATATCCAGGTGGAGCTGTCCAGCAGACACTTGGAAGTATGAATCTGAGACGTGGCTGGAAATAGATTTGTAAGGATAGTTGGCCATAAGAATGAATGAGACGGTCAAGGGGAGAACGAAGAATGGAATAACAAGACACCTAGGTTTGGAACCACAGTGAACACATGCTTAATTGGAGCAAAGCAAGAGGGGCCTTTGAAGAAAACTGAAAAGGACTTCAGGAAATGCTGAAGCCAGTAGAAGTCTTTTTTWWWAAAAAAAARGRGGCATAGTGTTACAGGTTTCGGATAAATAACTGAAAATTATTCTTTGGATTTTGACACACACAAAAAATCATTTAAGTGACATTGTGAGAGCAAAAGCAAACTGACAGGGAATGAGCTGTAGATGAGAAAGTGGAGGCAGGTGCTTCCCGGGTTCGCCAGATAGAGCTCTGTAGCCGCGCCTCGGTTGAGACTGTGACATCTTCCAGGGTAGGCAGGGTCTTTCACATATCTGTGGTCTAAGCGCCCTGCACACGGCCTGGAAGAGAGGGCGGCGTCAGTGAGTTCAGTGACTAGGGACGGAGAAAGACTTCGCGGAGGCAGACTCTTTGCAGCCAAGGCTTGAAGGATGAGGGTGATTGGGAGGAGAGGTGGGAGGCAGGGCCCCTGGGTGATGGGGTGCTGGAGTGTGAGAGGGTCTGGGAATGAGATTGGGTTCCAGTAGTATGCGCGCGGCTCTGCGCGAAGGGTGGGGGGCTGTGTGCAGGTTCGGAGGGACTTGCGTGGGGAAAAGACAGGGCCTGAGACTGCTGTAGGGGGTGTCGCCACGCTCCGCCCCACTTACGCTGCTGCGCGGTTCCCGGGCGCCTCTACCCAAGCACTCCCGCCGGGCTGCACGGCGACGGGTGACCGCCAGGGGCCGCTGCCTCCGGTCCCGGTGCCCCCGCCCCTCTCCGTTGGCCTTTGTTGCCGTCGGAGCGCCCCGCTTGACTCGTTCCCGTCCGCCCCCTGGGCCTGGCGGTCGCGCCTGCGCACTGGCAGCTGGCCGGGCGCTCGCAGGGGGAGCTGCTGCAGGCTCCGCGGCGGCGGCGGCAACGGAGGCTGCGGGGGCGGCGGCGCGAGCGGCCGGGCTTGGGGGGGGAGCCGAGCCCGGCCCGGGAGCCCGAGCAGCGAGAGCGCGGGATACGTAGGCCCCTCACGTTGGAGTCCACAGTCTCCAGGCCGCCTGACCTCCGCACGGGTATATGGGATGGAAGCGGGACCCTCGGGAGCAGGTAAGGGCCCCCGGGAGGGGGGAACGGTGCGTGCCCCAAAGACCTRGGGGTTCCTGCGTGAAGAGCATGGTTCCTGACTGAGGGGAGGGCTCCTGAGTGAAAAGAGGGTCTCTCATGGGATGGAGGGCCCAGTTTGAAGGGGGCTATGTGCAGTTCCGGGGGAGAACCATGTGAAGAGCCTTGAGATGGGGCTGTTTGTCCAAGGAGGCTGTATGCAGTCCTGGGCGTGGGAAGTAATCTGGGAGAAGGGCCTGAACGTATGGAAGGACTCCTGGAGAACCCGGGAGGCCTTTGGAGAGGCCCGGCAGGTGGCAGGGGGCGGGCTCCAGGTGTCCTGGAGAGGAGGGGGGCGACACAGATGGGCCTGGAGCTCCCGCATGCCGGGGGCGGGGGCTCTGCCTGGTTGGGCTGGGCTAAGCTAATGTCTCTTGGGAGAAGGCGCCAGAGCTGAGCTGTGAGCTCCGCCTCAGCCCGGCCTGACGCGGGGGCGAGGGTCAGGGGGCGGTGGGTGGGGGGGATCCAGCCCTGGGATTTCCCCCCCAGGAGGCTGGGGAGACTGAGAGGTGGCGCCGGAGCATGCGCGGAGGTGGCAGCTGGAAGGGGCTGCCCGACGTGGTGGGGGCGTGGCTGCCTGAATACCCCAACCCCTCCCCCGCCCTGTTTGGCTTAGAAAACCCAGCTCGCTGATGGGGTGCATTCTCCCAGGTTGTACAAGCAGAGTGCAAGTGGAAATTGTCCTCTCCTCTATCATGGGGGTTCTTATATTTGGCTCTGAAGCCCCTCCGGTCACAATTTGCCAAGACTTGTTTGAAGGAAACTGCCAAAATGCCTTTTTCTGCCACATAAGGAAAGACTGGGACTGAAGCCATGTTTTGGGGGCAGGATCTCTCTGAAGATAGGCTTCAGAAAAGGTGTTTGTTACTGAGGGACCAGGTCTACCTGGTTTGCAGGTTTCTGGTCCAATTCTACAGAGATGGGAGTTTTTAAACCAAGGATAATGACCTTTTCCATTGAATTGTTTCCTGAAGTTAGTTAATCACTTATTATGCCATAACATTTTCATGGCTCCTGTCTTTGGATAGATATCTTTCCTTTTTCATCTCTACTCCCCAGAAGTTGTCAGAGGCATGTCATTAGAACCAAGGTTGCCAAGCTAGTGTGATACAAATGAATCGTTGGGAAGGGGAGAGCTTATAGCATTGCCCTGGTGATTCCCAGGTAATAGCTTTATTTTTCTCTTTCCAGCTAAGAACAGAGGAGAAACTGAGTCAAGGTTTTTTCCCCCCAGAAGAGAAATCCTTTGGGGTGGGCTGTGGATTGCTTGAATCTCTCATGTCCTAGGTCTCTTTTACCTTGTGATTCAAGAAGCGATCTGAATCCAGGAATCCTTTAGGACATCTCTCACCACTACCTTTCCTTTTGATTTGAGAATGGATGTAGGATTTCTGTTTGGAAAAATCTTTTTGAGAATGGATGTAGAATTTCTGTTGGAAAAATCTTTTTCAGACTAGACCTAACAATGCCCTCCCCCCTCCCTTTCTTGAACTCTCTTAAGTCATTCATTGAGTGATCTATAAGTACTTCATGACTAGTTTCCTCCAAACAAAAAGCCCTGTAGGTCCTAAGGTGGATTCAGAGAGCAGCTAACCTCAGTGCAAACTGCTTCCTCCCTCTCTCCATCCCCCAAACCCTCTCAGTTTACTAGGCTGGAGAGTATTTCTAACAACCTGTGGACTAGAATAAGGTGAATAGGTCCCTGAGGTCCAGATGGATTGCTGAGAGCTGGCACCTGTTCCAGACTGCTAATGATTTTGTCCTGATGAATTTCTAATAGACTTTAGAGTGATGAACATTTTAACTTTTTTTATCTGTTAAAGGAAAAAACCTGGGGGAGGGGCTGGAACCTGGTGTCTGGAGTCAGCCTTGGGAAATTCAGTCTGAAAGCTGTTGATGGGGGAACCCCATAACTGCCTCCCTTTTAGGCCTAGACTTATTCTCTTGAAAGAACAGCATTTGGAGTGGTGTCTCCAGAAAGTCTGAGGACAAAAATACCCAAAACTAAGGCATTGTTACTTATATCTAGGTGTGCCTTCTATGCACGGGTGTGTCCCAAGCATAAGCTCTAGACTGGGAACTCCCTGAGGGTAGAGGTAGTATCAGATTTACTTTTAGAATCAGCAGTTGCTTAGTGTATAGTCCCTGACACAGAATACATGTTTATTAATCGAATTGAATCATGTTCAAGTGTGAACATATGGTTAAGCTCATATGTGCATATTTAATTACTTGTGTATACTCATGTGGGTATTTAATTTGTGGGGAAATCCTTTCTGGAGAGATTTGCCTCTTAGTCTTTACTTATCTACCACCTAGCTTTGAGTTCATGTCTTTTAAATAGGCAATCTGGATCCTTGGGAGGTATGTAGGCCTCTGAACTGCAAGGAAGGAATCCTGAGCCAGAGCTTTCAGCTCTGTTACTTTTCCTTCTCTGGGCTGGTTAAGGATAAGGGGAGGGGGAGTGTCCTTGCAGGACCCCTCCCTTCTTGCTTTTGTCTGGGGTGTGTGTGTGTGKGGGGGGTGGACCCCGCCCCTTTCTCTCTTGGCCCAGCTTTGTCCTCTGTGCTGGGGCCCTCATCTGCATCACAAAGTGGCCGTCTGTCCCTGTCTGAGTCTGAAGGGAAGTGTCTCCCTTTCTTAGACTAAAAGCTGGGGGCAGGGTTGGGTAGAGGGGGACTTTGTACAGTTGTGAGGCTTTCAGGGGGATAGAATGGGAGAGAGGTTTTTGTTTCTTTCTACCTTACCTAGTTTGGGTTTGAAGTGGATGTGTGGGCTCCCCTATTTTTCCCAAACCTTCCTTTGAGAGAAGGGTGCTCTAAAGGCAAAGTTTGGTGTGTTGTCTGTCCTGTTTCTAGGAAAGAGAAGACTTTGAGGCGAGTGTCTGCCCCATTCACTGTCATTTCTACCCAGCACCTAGCTCTAGGGCAATGTCTTCCTCCCAAAGCCCCTAACATTAGGCCTGGGAGTCTAAGGAKGTAAATAGAATCTAAGAACTTGGGGAAGGGGAAAGATGTCTCTTATAATTTTCACCCACAAGGGTGCTCATTTGTCCTGTTCAGCGTTTATGATTGTTTTTGAGCATTTGCAGGTATTTATGTATTTGTGTGCTTGTGTGATTTTGTGATGTGTCTATGCATATGTTTATTCATTCATTTCACATCTGAATACTGAACATCTCTGTGTGTACATGTGCACACACCAGCACTAGAGATTCGGCTGTGACCAAGGCAGCTACAGACCCTGCCTTTGGAGAACTCTGTTCAGACCCTGCCTTTGGAGAACTCTGTTGAGAGTGGTGAGGGATATGTGTATAAAGGTGAACTGTCAAGGTCTAGGTTGTGTTTGGATGTGCGTGACAGGATTATGTGTCTTTGTAGGCCTGTGTAAAATTTCTGTCCAGCTCTTTCCGGGGTAGGTGGCCAGGTGTGTATAGTTCCCTATGTAGCTGAGTTCTGAAGGCCTTTTCCCTCCAGGCTGGGCCTCCAATTCCCTGTCTGCAGAGTGGGGTGGGCTTGACAGGTGGTTAGAGGGAGTCCAACAGCTTAGCTCTGGGAAGTATACCCCTCCCACAAATGATTCTGACCTTTTCCTGACCTCCTAGCTGAAGATACACCCCATCCCCCCAGTCTGTCTGACTGTGAAAGCAGAGCTCTGATAATGGGAAGTTCTGGGCCTGTTTATCCCTCTCTCCTCCCACCTGGGCTGGTCTTCTACTGGCAAGAACAATAGTAACTGGGGACAAAGGCTTATCTTAGGCAGTTTCCCTTTTTTCTCCCTTTCCCCCTATGCTAGAAAATAAGACCGAGGGTAGCAATCAGGCTGGCCCTGAGCTAGCCCTTTCCCAAGGGCCCCCTCTGTCTTGAAATTGATCCCTTCTGCTGACTGGACCCTCTGTTTGGAAGGATTTGTGGGGCACGGGGAATCTTATGTTCTCTTTCCCAAGAGCCAGTGTCTCCTCCATGGCATTGTAATTGCTGTCTTTCCTTCCCAGCACCTTAGTTTTTTTTTTTTTTTTTTTTTAAGTTTTTTAGCTGAAGCTGGACACATACCTTTATTTTACTTATTTTATGTGGTGCTGAGGATCGAACCCAGTTCCCTGCATGTACTAGGCGAGTAGTCTGTCGCTGAGCCACARCCCCAACCCCTTAGTTCTTTTTTATTTAGTTTTTTTCTTCATTGTTTCCTAAACTGTAACCTTGTTTCCTCCTTCCCTAGCTGCCAACTCTAACCTATCCTGCTCTATCCCCCAACTCCATCTATCCCTCCTTTCCTTGGCAAATTCAAGCCTTTTTCTGTTGCATCCTCCAGTTCTGGCATTTTCTTCAGCCCTTATTTTATCTTCTCTCCTCTGCTTAATCATCAACCAAAATCCATTTAGCCTTTTCTCTTTTTTTCCCAACTCTGGCCATTTTGTTGCCTTACTTTTGTCTCAAACACTGTCCTTTTCCCCTCAATCTGGCCTTCTTTGGGTCTTTCTCCTGCCTACATTGCAGAAGAACATCAAGATAATGTAGCCAAGCCTAATGACACACACTTGTAATCTTAGCTTCTTGGGAGGCTGAGGCAGGAGGATCACAAGTTTGAGGCCAGTCTGGGAAACTTAGCTAGAGCCTGAGTGGGGGGAAAAAGTGTCATCTGTGTTCAGGATGGTGTGATGAGTGCATCCAGGTGGCAGAGAATAGGACATTCTTGGTCTGCTAGATATCTGGTAGAGATGAGTGTCTTAATCTAGTAGAAGGAAGGAAGGGTTTTGTTACTGAGAGCCAGAGTTAGCCCCTTCACTTAACATGCATTGGGAACTTAGTAAGCATTGTCTTGATGTATTTAAGGTATTTATTTCTCTATCTGAAAGAGGTTTAAAAACTAAAAAATGAAAAGGGTGGGGGAACAAAAAAAAAAGACAGCCTAGGAATGATTGAACTTCCTAACCTAGCTTCCACTAGGTTAGGAAGCAGGAAAGAGGCTATATTCTTCTGTTCCTGTTCGGGAGGCCTTGTGTCTTCTCTGATCAGAATCATTAGGAAATTGCCAAACTCAGTCCTCACTGGCCTTTTTTTCTTATAGCTGCGGGCGCCTACCTGCCCCCCCTGCAGCAGGTATTCCAGGCACCTCGACGGCCTGGCATTGGCACTGTGGGGAAACCAATCAAGCTCTTGGCCAATTACTTTGAGGTGGACATTCCTAAGATCGACGTCTACCACTACGAGGTGGACATCAAGCCAGATAAGTGTCCTCGCAGAGTTAATCGGTAAGCGATGTACATCTTTGCCACCAAGTCCATGAGTCTTTGCTTTCTTGAGTCTCAGAACCTTGAAAGAGGGACCAAAAAGGTAAAAGAAAAATTTAATTGAGGATGGCACCACCAAATCCAAGAAGACATTTTGAGGGAGGGATGCCAGGTAAGGTAAATGCTGAAAAATACTGTTGGATTTGTTTATCAGGAGATAATTGGTAACATTCACCAATGCAGTTTCAGTGAAGTAGTTGGGCTAGTTAACCCAGTAGCTACAGTGAGTAAAGGAATAAGTGGAAGGTAATATGGTAGGAATAATTAGAACAAATGGCTTTTTCCAGATAGTTTGGCAGTGAAATGAGGCTATTGGCTAGAGGAAACCATAGGGGCCAAGTGATTGCCTAGCACATTTCATTATTTTTTGAAATGAATGAATGAGGAGCTTTTAAGAATGAGGCATGGGGTAGTTTATAGATTGAGGTGAAGGAGTTGGTAAAGAACGAGAGGTTAAAAGGTAAAACTCAGGAGGAATGTGGGTGGGATATCCTTGCTGAGGTAGGAGGATATTGCAGGATATATATTTGGGGAATTAGCTTTAGATAGAAAAAGTAAAATTTTTTTCTAAAATTAATTTATTACTATTTGAAAATGATGTGAACAATATAAAAAAAATTCAAGAACTACAAAACAAGTAATAATAAAAAAAAWGTCTCCTTATTACCCTGGTTCCTGGAGGCCTTGATTTTTACCTTTCTTGAGTATGTTTCCAGATATTTTTTTATGCATATGCAAGCATATATGCATACATAATATTTTTTAAAAATGCAGAAAATACAGTGTCTTAAATACCTTGTTCTTCATCTTTTATTTTTCCACTAAACCATCTATTTTAGAAAATAGTATGAATTAATACATGCAAATCTACCTCATTCTTTGCATTGTTCTATAGGTATTTCCTTGAACAACTGTATTTAACTTATTTAATCTATTGAGGAACTTTTAGGTTGTCTAAACTTCTGCTACATAAGTGAAACTGTTGAATATTATTATATRTAGATACATATTTGCACTTAAATGTGAGTGTATCTGTAGAATAGTTTCCTAGGAATGGCTGGCATAACACATTTTAAATTATTAAGATAGCATCAGCTTTTAAAGATAAGTTGTAAGTTGTATGAAAGTGCCTGTTYCCCACACCCGCACCAGTCTTGTATATCCGCTTGTTTTTGTTTTTGGCATTCTGATAAGTAGATAATTACATCTTGGTCTAATTTAAAATTGTATCTCATTAATGAATGAGGTTGAACAGGTTTTCATATGTTTAAATGGAAGAAGCATTTCAAATGTGAGAGGAAGAGAGGGAAAAAGATGCTTGCATGTAGAAATATATTTGTGTGTATGTCTGGGAACTCAAGAGTAGCCTTGTCTGCTCTTTTCAGAGATACTAGAGCTGCTTTCTGATGGGAGGCAGGAGTGGGTTCTGGAGTGAGATGATAGTGGAGAAGGGTTGACACAGTCTATGAGGGATGGAAGTAATCAGGGAGGATGAAGAAGATTCCTGTGCAGCCCTGAGCCTAATTGGGATTGAAACCATGTTTTTATAGTTATTCCTAAGGTACCTTTCTGAGTGTGTTTTATACAATAGTAAGCAAGCTTTGATTTAGAAAGTAGAGAGATCAGGTGGTTGGATGGGCTGGGATTTTGAAAGAATGATAGACACTATGAGATTTAAGTAGTAGAGGTCAAGAAGGGAAATCAAGGAAGAGATGATAGTGGAGAGAAAACAGCATAATGGRACTAAGTGCATCAGAGAGAGAGAGAGGTGAAGTTCTACAGTTTATTCCTATTCCAGTTCAGATCTCTTTTTCCCTTATCAGACTGGGATTGGAGATTGGAACACTTGGATTCTGGATAGACCCTGGGATCAAGTCCTTTCCCCTCAAATTTCCTCTTCTCAGAAGGCATTCACACCCACTTTTTCAGGCCCTTGAGAAACAGGATCACCTTGGAACATGTTAGAAATGCAGAATTTCAGGCTGCACTCTAGACCTATTAAATCAGAATGCATTTTAATAAACCTCCAGGTGATGGATAGGAATATTGAAGTTGAAGAAGCATTTCCATAGACAAGATGTTAGGAGTAAATACAATTGATGGGACATTGCCTGACTTTGAATAACTTCCAAAAGCTTGAAGTGGTAGTCTCTCAGCTTCCACAGGCTACTCCTATCCCCCACAGGGAAGTGGTGGAATACATGGTCCAGCATTTCAAGCCTCAGATCTTTGGTGATCGCAAGCCCGTGTATGATGGAAAGAAGAACATTTACACTGTCACAGCACTGCCCATTGGCAACGAACGGGTAAGGTTGGGAGTCAGGCTAGGCCTATGTCAGGGGTCTGGAGTGGAACAGCTCATGTAAGCCCATTTGAAATCTGGAAGTCCAGAGATCCTTTTAGTCTTTTGTGCTGAGAAAATGTGTTTTAGGTTGAGGGATGGGTAGGTGCTTATGTTTATTTGGCCTATTATATGTCTGCCCCCTAAACAGACTGAAATTAGAATTAAAACAGACCTGAAGGACTTCCTACTGGGTTGAGAGGGACAGAAGCACCGAACCAAGGTAGCTGGAAACTGAGAAGCTGGATTTACTCTGGGGTCTTTATTGTGAGCCCCTGTTGACTTAAAAAGCAGATTTTTGGCAGATCTTGGGGGCATTGGGACAAGGTAAGGAATGCTGTGCTGTGGGAAAGTGATGTCAGTCCTTCACTCCTTTCTCTCACCCTCCTAAAGGTCGACTTTGAGGTGACAATCCCTGGGGAAGGGAAGGATCGAATTTTTAAGGTCTCCATCAAGTGGCTAGCCATTGTGAGCTGGCGCATGCTGCATGAGGCCCTGGTCAGTGGCCAGATCCCTGTTCCCCTGGAGTCGGTGCAAGCCTTGGATGTGGCCATGAGGCACCTGGCATCCATGAGGTACTGGGTGTAGTTGATATCTGGGCTATAGTATAGTTGGCAGAACTGCTTTGGAGGGAGGAGGGGTGTGAGCACATATTAAGGTCCCAGAGTGTTCAATGAAAAAAAGTTGAAATCCTACCATGTACCAGGCAAGTGTGCATATACATTTAGGTGGTTTAAATCCCAACCCTGTCCTTAGATGTCTTTGGGTCTCACCCCATCTGTCCCTGCAGGGCAGAGAAAAGKTAGAGACTTGCACAAGGTCAGTCATACAACTAGTAAAGGATCAGAGCTGGCATTAAAGCCCTGGTGTCCTGCCTTCCAGGCCAGGGCTCCTCCGTGCCCAGGATGCCTCACAGGGTGGGGGCCTGTGCCCGAGGGACCAGTTCTCTGCCTGTCCCTGCCAGGTACACCCCTGTGGGCCGCTCCTTCTTCTCACCGCCTGAGGGCTACTACCACCCGCTGGGGGGTGGGCGCGAGGTCTGGTTCGGCTTTCACCAGTCTGTGCGCCCTGCCATGTGGAAGATGATGCTCAACATTGATGGTGAGTGGGGAGAGCTATGGAGCCAGGGGCACCCCAAGTCCAGTCATCATACTCCCAGCCTCATCCCTCCCAGCTCTGCAACCACACTCCTAGTCTAAATCCTATAGCCCTGGCACCCCTTTGTCCCCTATCCCAGTACCCTATAAGGAAGAGGGTATTCATTACAATGCTTGCACTTAGTCTAGAAGACAGAACCTGAGCTGAGCTATCTCTACCCTGTCCCCACAGTCTCAGCCACTGCCTTCTACAAGGCGCAGCCAGTGATTGAGTTCATGTGTGAGGTGTTGGACATCAGGAACATAGACGAGCAGCCCAAGCCCCTCACGGACTCTCAGCGTGTTCGCTTTACCAAGGAAATTAAGGGTGAGGACTCAGCCAGGTGGGGAAGGAAAACAGTGCACCTTTTTCTTTAGCCTTAAGAGGAAATTCCCTTGGGAGAGGCCAAGCCTGGGCACATGAGCAACCTATTCCAACTCTGACAAGTAGTGTGTGTATCTCAGGCCTGAAGGTGGAAGTGACCCATTGTGGACAGATGAAGAGGAAATACCGTGTGTGTAATGTTACCCGCCGCCCTGCTAGCCATCAGACGTAAGTTGGCAGGGTTGCTTAGTCATACTCAACTGGTGGAAGAGGGTTGAGATTTCAAACACTCCCCTGAGTCCCCTTCTCCCACTGACCCTGAGAATGAGCCTTAGACTAGCCCTGTTTTTGAAGATAAGCTGTGGGAATTTGGCATCCCTCCTCCAGCCTTCCCAGATCCATTGATTGTCTCTACAGTAATTTTACCTTCTTGATCTTCTTTCTTTCTTGGGCCTTTACTATAGAGCAGGCATATTCCATTAATTCTAGTTATTGTTCTACAAATATTAGAATCTCTCAATTTATTCTTCTTCCTGAAGAAAGCAGTCCAGGCTCCTGGGCTTATCCTTGGGAAAACTATACTTTATTCCAGCTCCTTTCTTGACTGAAAGCTATGCTGGACTCTATCTACTCGGTGTCAGGCTTTATGTTCAATGTTAGAAATATGTAACGATCAGATATGCTCCTGACTGGGGTGGATCATAACCTTCAAATATTTGGCTTTTGCCATGGAGCCCAGCATTGCCTGTTTTCCCAAGAGTGGCAGTGCTCAAAGAGGTTGGGTAGGATGAAGCAATTTCTGAAACTTTTCATGGTTGTGGGTCTACAGAGGTGGGATTGAATGCTGGGTTATGATACCTCCTTTCCTTCCTTCAAACAGGTTTCCCTTGCAGCTGGAAAGTGGACAGACTGTAGAGTGCACAGTGGCACAATATTTCAAGCAGAAATACAACCTTCAGCTCAAGTATCCCCACCTACCTTGCCTACAAGTTGGCCAAGAACAAAAGCATACCTATCTGCCCCTAGAGGTAAGGCTGCCAAATAATGGCTGGGCTGGGAAACAGGCATTATACCAGAACACTGATTATCAGAGATCTGTTGATTCATTCATAATCTCTCATCCTCATTTTCAAGTTTAGAAAATTGACAAGATGAAGAAGGCATGTGAAATAGAGGCCTTTGTCTTACCTGCTGAATTCTTTTCTTATCCCTGGTTCTACCTTTGTGTTCTTTTAAGAGGTTAGGCAGAAGGGCAACATATATTTACTGTTTAATAAGTAATTAGTTCAGTTGGGCACAGTGGGACATGCCTGTAATCCCAGTGGCTCAGGAGGCTAAGGCAGGTGTATCACAAGTTCAAGGTCAGCTTGAGCAACTTAGTGAGTTCATAAGTAATTTAGTGAGACCCTATCTTAAAAGTTAAAAAAGGCTGGAGATGGAGATGTAGCTTAGTGGTAAAGCACATTCAAAAAAAAAAAAAAAAAAGAGAGTAATCAGCATTGAAACAGATTTTCAGATACTCATGTTATCTTTCATTTTTTTAAGTTGTAGATGAACAYAATACCTTTATTTTATTAAATTATTTTTATGTGGTGCTGAGGATTGAACTCAGTGCCTCACAAGTACTGGGCAAGCACTCTGTCACTGAGGTATAACCCCAGCTCCTGTTATCTTAATTTCTTTTTTCCTGTTCTCTGGAGAGATCCTTCTTGACCTAGTGTACCTTATTCTACAAATGTGCATTATTCTAAATAAAATGGAAATGAATAGTACTAAATTCTGTTTCCCTGGTGGTTAATGTGTTCCTTTTGAAAAACCGTGAGCCCCAAGATTTGTCATACTTTTATACTTTGGTAGACGATTGAAATCCTGCAATTACAGAAAAAAATAGTAATGCTATTTAAGTTATAGAATACAGTGCAGAATCCCTGGGCTGTATTTGGTTTAGTATGTGCTAGACAGAATGTCTACTGGAAAACTTCTGCAGATGGCTTCATTGTTTAGTCCAATATTACTCAGAAAGTAAGGTCAGTACACCAACAGGATAGGCATCACTTGAAAGTTTATTTAAAATAAAGAATCTCTTTCCATAGTACTGAGTCAGAATCTGCCTTTTAACATCCAGAGGGGATTTATAATTATATTAAAGTTGGGAAGCAGTACCCTAGACTATTTTTGGTTTTCATTTATTTTTTAGTTGTAGTTGGACATAGTATCTTTATTTCTTTTCTTTTCTTTTTTTTTTTTTTTGGTACTGGGGATTGAACTCAGGGGCACTTGACCACTGAGCCACATCCCAGCCCTATTTTGTTTTTATTTAGAGACAGGGTCTCACTGAGTTGCTTAGTGCCTTGCTTTTGCTGAGGCTGGGTTTGAACTCTCAATCCTCATACCTCAGCCTCCCAAGCTGATGGSATTATAAGCATGTACCACCATGCCTGGCCCTTTATTTCATTTTTATGTGGTTCTGAGGATTGAACCCAGTGCCTCATCAATGCTAGGCAAGCACTCTATCATTGAGTCACAAACCCAACCCCTCTAGACTATTTTTCATCCTAGTAGCTGGAGTCAGATAGCTCAGACCAAAGCTCAAGCTTTTGTGAGTTTCTAAGATTCTGGAACTAACCCCTGGAAATGAGACTGAAGGGGAAAGAGAAGCCAAAGCCCATAATTCTGACTTGGTTAATAGCTGGTGATGCACAGAAAGTAGGTTGAAAGCATTATGTTCTTTGAAGAATAAATAGAGATCTTTAGGGATAGTTTCAGCTAAATTGATACTGGGTAATAATGTACTGTAAGCTGAAATTTACTAGCAAATTAACATTATTTCTGTTTAAACTATAGTTTTCAAGGTGAATAATTTTAATGATTTATATCTTGGTTTTTTTATTGTTGTTGTATAACAAGTAATTTATTGAGTTCTTACTATGTGTTGTGTACTCATTTATATCCTATGAATATAGAGATTAACAAGATAGACAATGTCCCTGCTGTCATGGAACTTACATTCTGAAAGGGGAAGAATAATAAGTTGATAAACAAATAAGATAGTTTCAGATGGTAGTAAGTGGTATAAAAATAATAAAACAAGTTAGGTGGGCTCAGTGATGCGTGCATGTGCTCCCAGACTAGGGAGGCCAAGGCAGGAGGATCACAAGTTTGAGACCATGGATGGGGACGTGATTCAGTGGTAGAGTGTTTACCTACCATGCATGAGGTCCTGGGTTTGATCCTCAGCACCCACTATTTAAAAAAAAAAAAAAAATCTTACATCCAGTGGACTAGGGTTGTTACTCAGTGGTAGAATGCTTGCCTAGCATGTGTGAGGCACTGGATTCAATACTCAGTACCGCATATAAATAAATAAATTAAATGAAGGTCCATCAGCAACTAAAAAAAATTTTTTAAAAATCTTATATCTGGCATCATCCAGAAAAAAAACAAAAACAAAAATGTGTTTGAAGCCAGCCTCAGCATCTTAGAACCTGTTTCTAAATAAAATAAAACGTAAAGGACTGTTGGTAAAGCACCCTTGGATTCAATCCCCAGCACCAAGGAGCAGAAAAAGGATAATAAAGCAAGTTAAGGGCATAGGGCTGGGGATGTGGCTCAAGCGGTAGCGTGCTCGCCTGGCATGCGTGCGGCCCAGGTTCGATCCTCAGCACCACATACAAAGATGTTGTGTACGCCGAGAACTGAAAAATAAATGTTAATAAATTCTCTGTCTCTCTCTCTCTCTCTCTCTCTCTCTCTCCCCTCTCTCTTAAAAAAAAAAAAAAAAAAAGTTAAGGGCATAGAAGTAAGGGTATGAGGGGTTAGGAAACTACTTTAGTTGTTGTTGTCAGGGAAAGCCTTTTTTAGGAACTATTGAACTAAGTCCAAAATTATGCTTACCAACCTTGTAACAGCCTGAGGGTGGAGCTTTCAAGGCAAGAGGACTAGCAAGTGCAAAGGCTCTAAAGTAAGGTGGAGTTTGGTTCTCTTTTGAGGGCCAGATAGAAGGCATGAGTGGTAGGAATGTGTTATATGATGTAATAAGAGATGATGCTGGAGAGAGGTACAAGTCAAATCATAAAAGATATTGTAGGCCAAGGGGGATTTTTTTTTTTTTTTAAGAATAGCTTCATCAAGATATGATTAACATACCATAAAATGCATCTTCTTAAAATGTACAATTGGGTGGTTTCAGTGTATTTACAGAGTTATGCAACATTTTACTAATTCCAGCTATTTTCTTTACCCCCAGGAGAAAGTGCACACTCATTAGCAGTCATGCACTATTCTTTTTTTTTTTTTTTTTCCCAACAACCACTGGTAACCACTACTCTATTTTCTGTCCCTGGATATGCCTCCTCTGCACAAATCACTTAAGTAGAATCGTACAATATGTGGCCTTTTGTGAATGATTTCTTTTATTTAGTATAATTGTTTCAAGATTCAGTTTGTTATTTTCAAGGTTTATCTGTGTTGTTCCATTGCGTGGATATGTGTCACATGTCACATTTTGTTTCTCCTTCAGTTGATGGACATTGGGTTGTTTCCACTTTTTGACTATTATACATAAGGGTGCTGTGAACATTCTTTATACATGTTTTTGTGTGTGAACACATGTTTTTGTTTCTCTTGGGTATGTATTTAAAGAATGAAATCATTTATAACTGTGTTTAACATCTTGAGCTGCCAAGTGTTTCCAATATGGCTGTGTTGTTTTAGAATCCTGTGAGTAAGGGTTCTAATTTCTGGTTAGTGGAATTTTATTCTAATTAGAATAGGAATCAATTGGAAAGTTGTTTGTTTTTGCAGGATGGGTATCAAACTCAGGGCCTTGTGCATACTAGACAAATGCTCAGCCACTGAGCTACATCTTTAGCCCTGGAAGATTTTTTTTTTCTTAATGTATTTTTTAGTTGTATATGGACACAATACCTTTATTTTTTTTATTTGTTTTTATGTGATGCTGAGGATTGAACCCAGTGCCTCATTACATGCTCTGCCTCTGAGCCACAGTCTCAGCCCCAGCCCTGGAAGATTTTAAGTAAAAGAAAAACAACATGGATTAATTGAATTCCACAGCTAGAAACTAGTAATAGCCCAGTGCCTCCAATTCAAATGTTCAAATCAAAATTCATTTCTGCTTTCATTTTTCTATTTCAAATTGTGGTAAAATATATATAATATAAAATTTGCTATTTTAACTATTGAGTTTAGAGTTTCATAGCATTAAATATATATACATTATTGTAAAACTGTCATTATTCTCTATCTCCAGAAATTTTTCATCATCTCAAACTGAAACTGTACCTGTTTAATAACTCTCCATTGCTCTGTCCCTTTAGCTCTGGAGACCACCATTGTGCTTTCTGCATCTATGAATTTGACTACTCAAGAAACCTTATATGGGCTGGGGATGTGGCTCAAGCGGTAGTGCGCTCTCCTGGCATGCGTGCAGCCCGCGTTCGATCCTCAGCACCACATACCAACAAAGATGTTGTGTCCGCCAAGAACTAACAAATAAATATTAAAAATTCTCTCTCTCTCTCTCTCTCTCTCCTCTCTCACTCTCTCTTTAAAAAAAAAAAAAAGAAAAAAAAGAAACCTTATATAAGTTGAATCATAATATTTGTCCTCTTATTGGCTTATTTCACTTAACACAATGTCTTTAAGGTTTATGTTGTAGCATGTTAGAATTTCCTCTGCATTAAGGTTGAATAATATTCCTTTGTGTATGCCACATTTTATGTGTTCATCCATTGATGGACACTTGAGTTACCTCTACATTTGGCTACTGTGAGTAAAGCTGCTGTGTAAAAGGAGCACAAATACTTATTCATGTCTCTGCTTTCACTTCTTATGAGTACACACCCAGAAGTAGAATTGCTGGTTCACATGGTAATTCTGTGTTTAATTTCTTCCTTCCTTCCTTCCTTTGTTCTTCTTTTCTTTCTTTCTTTTCTTTCTTTCTGCTAGTGATTGAACCTAGGGCCTTGTGTGTGGGAAGCAAGCAGTATACCGACTGAGCTATATCCCCAGCCCTGTGTTAAATTTCTTGAATCACCATACCATTTTCCATAATGATTGTACCATTTTGCGTTCTCATTAGCAATGGTTCTGGTTTCTTTCCTGTGTTAGTTTTTTGCTAGTGTTAATTCTATAGCACTGGAAACAATGGAGAGTGCTACAACTTTAAAACATCTTTAAGAGAGCAACCGAATAAATTTTAACAATGCTGGATGTCCATTAAATTGCTGATATTGTGTGTTTGTTAAAATATGGAACTTAAAAGCAGGTGACCTTGGTTTGGTTTTCCCTCCCATTTTTAGCATGAACTCTGGGAATTAGAATGAGAACCAGCATGTATATCATGTTGGTCTTAGGGAGCGTGTTATACATTTCATCACATCTAAATATTTACAACAACATTATGAAACAGTGTTTTTTCCCATGTCTAAGATTGTAGAAGCTGAGTCTCAGGTTAAGGGACCTGCCAAAGGTAACATTATTTAGAAATGCAAAACTGGACTTTAAACCCAAGTCTCTCAAAACCTACTTACCCTTTATTCTGTTATAAACCTTCCCTCTCACAGTATCCTGAATATATTGGGAAGTGGCAGTCTTATATATCACTAGACATTTTTTTTTTGTCTTTATCATTTTTTCTTGGAGTCAGAACAGATGAATCACGTAGCAGGATGTTCCTCACAACAATGGTGGACACTGTTGGCTGACAGTGATTTCTGTAGTCTGGGGGCTCAAGAGTTTAAAAGCCCTCTGTAGTCCTCCTCAATTGTTGTAGGATGGAACAACTCACTTCCTGCCACTAGTGGAGACTGCTGTAGGAATTAATTTGTTTGAGTTTCAGTATTCAGAAGAGCTCTGTTATAGTTTATTGAGGGTTTAATGTGCCCTAAAGATGTGCTCAGTCCTTTAAATCCTTTATTTCCTCTCCATACGGCCCTATCAGATTGATATTGTTCTCATTTAATAGACCTGAGCTCTGAGTCTGGATCCCAAGGTTCTAATCACATAATAGTATTATTTTTTGTTTTGAATGTGAATATTTTGTAACATATATCAAGTGAAACTCAAGAGGAGAATACATGTATGTACAAGAGATTCTTTCCCTGGTTGACAGTGAAGGTCTCTTATAGGGTGGATTGAACTCAAGCCAGAGCTGTGTGTCCTTTTCATTTCCTCAGGTCTGTAACATTGTGGCTGGGCAGCGCTGCATAAAGAAGCTGACTGACAACCAGACTTCAACCATGATAAAGGCTACAGCTAGGTCAGCCCCAGACAGACAGGAGGAGATAAGTCGCCTGGTCAGTGGGGTTGCAGAGAAATGCATGCTCATTTACTCAGTTATTGGGGCCCTTGGTAGCATAGATGTTTTAATGCCCCAAAAGACCCTCCTTCAAGAGAACCCAAGTTTGGATTTGGTGCCGGGGACTCCACAGGGCTGTTCTTGCTTCTTGACACTATAGCTATTTTGATTTTCCCCTCCTGATAACTTTACTGTTGTCCACTGCTGCTTCCTTCATTTTTTATTCCTCCTCCCACCTTACCTTTTAGGGCTATTTCTTGCCAACTTCAGCTTCTCTTCAGGGCTCTCTCCTTGGGACCCAGAGGGTGAGTTACGGTATTACCAAGCTGCTGTTCTCCTAAGATGTCCTTCTTTGCCTGCAGATGAAGAATGCCAGCTACAACCTAGATCCCTACATCCAGGAATTTGGAATCAAAGTGAAAGATGACATGACGGAGGTGACGGGGCGAGTGCTGCCGGCGCCCATCTTGCAGTACGGCGGCCGGGTGAGCAGGGTCAGGGCCACACAACATCTCTGGGGCATATGTGGGTGGTTGGGTTGTTTAACCAGGGGCTTTTGGTCCCTACCCACTTGGTTCTACTGAGGCTCACCTGGGCGCCCCCCTCTGCCTATTCGCAGAACCGGGCCATTGCCACACCCAATCAAGGTGTTTGGGACATGCGGGGGAAACAGTTCTACAATGGGATTGAGATCAAAGTCTGGGCCATCGCCTGCTTCGCACCCCAAAAACAGTGTCGAGAAGAGGTGCTCAAGTAAGGAGGGTTGGTATGTGGGGTTGAAAGGGTGGGAAGAAACCCAGAGCTACTGTTCCCTGCTGCCCAGGGATCAAGATGGATCTATAGTCTGTTCTTTCTGTCTTGTCTCTGCCTGCCTTGTCCTTTCTGGCTGAGACTTCTTCCTTTTCCTTTTTTGTCCATCTGTGGTTAGGAGACTTCAATAAGGAGCCGTGTCTGTACCAGAGATGATGATTTTAGGATATGAGTCTCCTAAGGGAGAGTTTAATTATTTTGTTGTTGCAATTATTATCATTGGTAATAAGTAGTGGTAGTGATAACTATAATGTTTATGACACATTTTATTTAAATACCTAATTTATGTTCTCCCATTTCATCTTCATAGTGAATAGGTAGTGCTGTTTCCATTTTCAGGAGACTGTAGCTCAGAGAGGTTAATAAGCAACTTGTCCAAAGTTTGCACATCAAGAAAGTGTCAGAGTTGGGATCAAATCAGATCAGAGCTTCAAAACTTACGTTGCTAGTTGGAAACAAACAAACAAACATAATAAGCAGCTTGGTTAGCTCAGAGGTGAGCTGTCCTCTCCTATCCACAGAATTTGTTCTGTCAGGTCCAAGTGACCTGAATTAGGTGAATGTGACTAGTAAGGGTCTCTGCACCCTCAGGGCTGAGTGACTTGGAGTAGATGGCAGCTGTGGGGAAAGTGAAATAGCTGAATGGCTTAAGGAAACAAGCTAGGGGAATAATGACTTCAGTGAATGAATGAATAAGTGAAGTCACTGACCCTTTCTCTACAATCATTTGTTTTTAAACAAAAAAACTTTTATTAAGGTATGTTTTAAAAAAATCCCACAAAACTCATACTTAAAGTGTACTGTTCAGAGATTTATGCTGTGGGGTGTGTGTGTGTGTGTGTGTGTGTGTGTGTGTGTGTGTATATCAGTGAGTGACACAGAGTGAGAGAGAGAGAGAGAGAGATTGAGAGATTGAGAAGAGAAGGGGAAACGTATTTATGGTACTGGAGGATTGAACCCAGGGTGTTCTACAACTGAGCTACATCCCCAACACTTTTTTATTTTAAATTTTATTTATTTATTTTTGTGATACTGGGAATTGAACCCAGGGGGGCTCTACCACTGAGCTACAACCCCAGTCCCTTGTATTTTTTTTTATTTTGAGACAGGATCTCACTAAGTTGCCAAGGCTGGCCTTGAACTTGCTATCTTCCTGCTTTAGCCTCCTGAATTGCTGGGATTACAGGCATGTGCTACCACCATTATTTTTATTTTTATTTTGAGTCCTTCTTTATTTTTATTTTAAGACCAGGTCTCACTAAGTTGCTGAGACTGGCCTCAAACTTGTGCTGCTTGTGCCTCAGCCTCCTGAGTTGCTGGGATTTTGTGTCACCATCCCTACCTTTTGCTATCTTGATGTGGTGGCTCTCTGGATGTGGAATGGGGTCAGTGTACTCTGGGTATGAATTAGAGTCAGTGGAGCTGGTCATTTGGGGTTGTGATGAAGATAATGGAGACGTGCCCTTGTGGGTTCAGATGGTCTTGGAGTCCTCATAAGAATTAGTTCTAGCAGTTCCTAATAAATCCACTGACTCTAGACCCTGCCCTTGCTCTTCTGCCCTCTCCTTACCATTTCTAGATAAACAGCCACCACTGTCATAATTATGGTTTCTCTTAAATAGATTTTTTTGGGGGGGGAGGGTCCGCTTTCTTGGGTTCTTTGGATTTAGCTCCATTTGGGATAAGCTGCTCTTGCACTTGGCCTAGCATTGGAGGGTTGGCCCTTAGCAGTATTAGAAGGGCTCCCAATTTTTTTTCCTTTGAGCCTGATCATTTCATTGGTAGCTCTATTCTCTGTATACTTCTCTCTTACTTCCATCTTCTTTCATTGTCTAATTTTTTTTGTTTGTGTGTGTGTGTGTGTGTGTGTGTGGCAGTTTATTGTTTGGATCATTTTGAGGCATCAGGAATTGGTAACTACAATCTCAAGAGTTGGAAGGGGTCAATTTCATTGGGCATTTTCCTCTCTCAGTGACCCCCTAGGTATAGGGGGTGAGAATGTGATATGTGCATCTGGATCAGTGACACCCCATTATATATGTGATTGTGAGCTAAAGGTAAAGACTTCTGAGTCTTCAGCAATGGCACTGGGTGAGATTGTCCAGGGAAAATGTGCATACTAAGCAGAGGCTGAAAATAGAGAAAATAGAAAGTAAACAAAACAATGTCTCCAAATGTGGAGGAGGCAGTGGGATTCAGAAGCACAGAGAAAGAGCCCCCTTTTCATTTGAGAATGGGGGAAGAAATGAAGTGAAGTAGGAGAAATTGGTAATTGGGAATGGATGAGGAAGTTCTTTGAACCCTCAGGATTATTCTTCTGGCTAAGGAGACTCTATTACTGTTGGGTCAGATTTCAAAACCTTCCCCCTCCTAGATGTTTCTTAGTACTTTTTGGTCCCTAGCACTGGGTACAGTATCCCAAATGTGGTCTGTTATTTAGAGAAGATTGGGAATACCCCTTCCCTTGAAGAAGGGACTCATTATTAATGAAGTCTGGTAACTCATTGGCATTTTTGGTAGTTACAGCAAGTTGTGTGCAAGGCAGAGAAATGGAAGAAATGATGTTAGTGGACCTATGAGAGCCCTACTTCTTGTTTTCAGGAGACAATACTTAGGTTATATTTTTTTTATTCTAACATTTCTTTTTTTGAAAAAAAATTTAAATAATAAATGTAGAGGATAATACACCTTTCATATATCCATTATCCAGAGTTTTGTCAGTTACCTTATCCTTTTTTCAAAAGTAAATATAAATAACTTTGGCATTTTTTTATATTCTTCATTCTAGTCCCATTCCTCCCTTCTGATGTGGCATCTAAACAACTATTTTTGTTCTCTATTTGTACATTATTGCATTTTTGTGATGCTGTGGATTAAACCCCAGGCCTTTCACATGCTAGGCAAGCAGCACTCTAACACTGAGTGTGTTTGATTAATTTTTAAAAATTTGTTAGTTTTTTTTTTTTCGGTTTTAATTTTTTATTTGTAAATGGACACAATAAAGGTTTGTTTATTTTTATGTGGTTCTGAGAATTGAACCCAGTGCCTCACACATGCCAGGCAACTGCTCTACCACTGAGCCACAACCCAAGCCTGAGTGTGTTTAAAGATTTTTTTTTTAAGAATTTTTAAAAATATATTTATTTATTTATTTATTTTAGTTGTAGTTGGACACAACTCCTTTATTTGTTTGTATGTGGTGCTGAGGATCAAACCCAGGGCCTCACGCTTGCTAGGCGAGCATGCTTCCCCTGAGCCACAAAGCCAGCCCATGTTTAAAGATTTTTAAAAAATTAAATTCCCTGCGCCTGTTTCAGTCTGTCAGTTTATTTTTGTAGGTTGATTTTTTTTTTAAAACTATATTGCATGTGTACCCTGTCTACCAACTTTGTTTTCCTTTCCCAAGGTAAAGCCCTAAACTAAAGGAAAGAAGCTTGTTTAATTAGCTCAAGGTATCAAAGAACCAGTAGGGGAGAAGGAAGCTTGTTTTTACTGAGCATCTCTTGAGCTCCCATCACTTTGGAACCTCATTTATTTTGATCAAAAGGCCTTACAGTTAGACATCTGCCTATTTCTTTGCATATGTAATGAAGCACAGCTTTCAGCTGCTTGAATCAGGGACAAGGTAGGAGCCCTGGGAATACCTACAGGTCCTTTCTCTGGGGCTTTCTCCACTTTCTTGGTATTCTCTCTGTTGCACACTTGGCAAGCTCTGTCTTGTCCTATTCAACTATTAATGTATTTTTTTTCCAATGTCTGCTCATGTCTCATTCATGTGCCWTAATAAGTGCTTAGCACCTAAGATGGAGACATTCATTTGAGTTTTAAAGTGGGACTTACTGGCTCCTATCACAATTGTGCTTGTGCTACAGGAACTTCACAGACCAGCTGCGGAAGATTTCCAAGGATGCAGGGATGCCCATCCAGGGTCAGCCTTGTTTCTGCAAATACGCACAAGGGGCTGACAGCGTGGAGCCCATGTTCCGGCATCTCAAGAACACCTACTCAGGGCTGCAGCTCATTATCGTCATCCTGCCAGGGAAGACGCCAGTGTATGGTACAGTTCTCTTGGGACAGTGATAATGATGATAGGACACTTCTTGGGATAGCTCCCTGGGGGATTTTTGGTGGAGTTGATGGAGAGTTTTGATTTCTGCCAAAGGTGTCCCATGTTAGCATTCCTCTTATGAGAGAAATATCAGTCTATATGAGCTATTGGGTCATTCTAGATTTTATTTACCTGCTCACAGTCCCTTCCAGTAATATTTACTGGGGACCTTGTGTGCTGGTCTTTCTGCCAGGCTCAGATGGCCAGATACACAGATGGGTCAGTTGAGATTCCTGTCCTTAGGAGTGTGTAGTTTATTAGGACGTTGTGCAGCCCAAGCAAAGATATGGTGGTTCTGCTAATATTCTGTTACCTGATAATGATGTAGACTTTTTAAGAGATTTCTGTCTTCCCTTTTTTCTCTCTTTTAGAAAAGAAATGACTATGTATGTCTCTGTTAGCACTTTTCTCTTATTCCATTTGCTCAGCAGCTCTGTGCTCTTGCTCCCATCCGGTTCTGTTACCTTTGGTAATTCATATACCTTTCAAGCTTCAAACATTTTTAGATTTCCCTCTCCTGGAATATGTTACTACAACTGTGTGTGTGTGTGTGTGTGTGTGTGTGTGTGTGTGTGTGTTACTGAGGATTGAATCCAGGGCCTTATGCATGCTAACAAGTGCTTTACCACTGAGCTACATTCCAGTTTTCTTCTTTCCTTGACTTCTGGATGTTTTCTCCTATCTCTCAATTTTGTCATTATCAGGAATGTCTGGTATTCTCTGGCATTCTGTCCTCTGCTTTTACATTCTGTTGATACTCCCATTCATTCCAATTGCTTAGGTTATCACCTCTTGTTTATAAGTTATAGAACTAAAATCTTGATCCAGCCCTTGAACTCTCTGCAGTTCCTRTATTTCCATTTGGCCTCTTTCTTCTGCAAGTTGTTGGTCATCTATTCTAACCTTTATTCACAAGTCTTTCTTGAGTAGGTTACCAGATAAGAATTTGTGACTGTCCTATAAAAAACACCTTCAGGGGCTGGGGTTGTTGCTCTGTGGTAGAGCACTCACCTAGCAGGAGTAAGGCACTGGGTTCAATCCTTAGCACCATATAAAAATAAGATAAAGGTATCGTGTCCACCTACAACTAAAAGTATATGTTAAAAACAAAAACACCTTCATTGGTCCCCATTCAGTACTATGTTAAGGGCTTTGTGGGTCCTGAACTTAGTTTAACCTCTTCAGTTTTATCTTGCACTGCTTACTTGCTATTCGTACTAGAAAGATCTGGAATTGGAGCTGAATTTAAGTCCTGGATGTACCAGTCAACTGACTTAGACAAATTACCTAACTTTTCTGAGCCTCATCAATTAATGATATAAAAATCATCTAGCAGAGTGCCTGGCACATAGTAGATGCATTTTAAATGCACGTTCCTTGTCTGTGCTTTCCACTCTCTGGTTTGGCTCTCATCATTTTGTCTTTGCCTGGCTATCTGACTACTCTTCTTGTTCTTCTCTCTTGCCCTTAAACTTCTCTCCATCCTTTGAGACCCAGTTTAAATGCTGCTTATTCCTTATTCCTATCATTCCACCTGGAGGATGAACTTGTCTTTCTGGATTCCTCTGATTTATCAGGCCGCTGATCAGTTACTACCTTGTTTAATTTTGAGTGTGGAATATATCTGACTCTGCTCTGAAACCTTCTTGCCTCTGCACATATAGAAGATACTATCTTATGTTGTTATGATACTCAATAATTTCTTATGAAGGGAAGTTGGTTGACCTTCAGGCTATTTCTCTCTTAAAGAGCCTTAAATTCATAGTCCTGAAAGAAAGATAAGGATGCTTTTTAGGAGAACTGCCTTGAGTAAGTATCCCTGTGTGTGGTTCCCTCTGTTACAGGAAAATCCAGTGTTTTGGCTTACTGGGGAGGCAGTACTTGATCAGAATTTTCCCCTTGCTGGGCTCAGTAATATTACACCTCTCCCCAGCCTTGTGCCTTTATTAGGTCCTTGGGTTTCTTCCATTTACATGGACATGAGACTATCTGCCTGAAAATTAAGCCAGCAGATAAGAGAAGCAGTCAGRTTCTACTAAAGACCCTTCAGGATGCTGGGTGAAATGACACTCTCCCTGTGATGGTCAGATCAAGGTCTTGTTGGCTTTGTGGTTGCCCTGAGAGTGTAGACAGTGTCAAATTTGCTCAGTTCTGATGTGGTACTATATATATCCAGTTTTCATTATATTTTATATTTTCTATCCATTAAATTGATACCATTTACTTTTTAAAAAATGCAACTTCTTATTAAATTATAATAGATACATAGAAATCTGAAGTGTTTAGCTCAATGAATTTTCACTGTCAACAGTGTAATCAGTACTTAGYAGAACATTATCACCACTCAGCTACCAGTTACTGAGGGAACCACTATTCTGGTTTCTAACACCATAGATTAGTTTTGCATATTTTTAAAATTTCATGTAAATGTAATCACAGTGTATGTATTTTTTGTGTGTCTGGCTTCTTTCAGGCAATATTAAATTTGTGAGATTTATTTGTGTTGTGTTTAGTTGTAGTTTGTTACAGGTTTTCCATCATGTGAATATAACACATTTTACATGTATCTGTCCATTTTACTGTTAATACACGTTTGTATTGTCTTCAGTTTTTTAAAAAAATATTTTTAGTTGTAGATGGACATAAAATCTTTATTTACTTATTTATGTCGTGCTGAGAATTGAACCCAGTGCTTCACACATACTAGGCAAGTGCTCTACCACTGAGCTGCAACCCTAGCCCTAGTCTTCAGTTTTGACTACTATAAATAATGCTTGTACATGTCCTTTGAACACCTGTGCATATTTCTATTGAGTGTGTATTACCAACTAACACACCAATAGCAGTGTGTGATAGTTCTAGGAGTTTCAAATCCTTATTAAACTTGGTATTCTCTTTTTCATTTTAGCCATTCTTTGGGGTTTTTAATGATATTATTGCATTATGCTTTTAATTTGATTTTCTTGTAACATAAAGTTGAATATCTTTATGTCTTGACTAAGTCACTAGCCTCTTTTGTTAAGTACCTGATCAAGTCTTTAAAATACTAGATTTTTCCTTTGATATCATTAACTCCAAAGGACATTTCTGATCATCATTTTACCACTTTCTTAGATACATTTGACTTTTATTTTTGTTCTTTTTGGTATTGGGGATTGAACCGAGGGGAGCTTAGCCACTTCCCCAGCCATGTTTTGTTTTATTTTTTTTTTTTTTTTTAAGTTTTAGACAGGGTCTCACTAAGTTGCTTAGGGTCTCACTATGTTGCTGAAGCTGATCCTGAATTTGAGATCCTCCTGCCTCAGCCTCAAGAGTTCCTGGGATTACAGACGTGGGCTGCTACACCTGGTTTGCATTTGACTTTCTTGTTCACTTGCTCCTTCTTGAAATACTGTCTTCCCTTGGTGTTCACCATGCAACACTGTCTTTTTCATCCTTAAGCTGTTTGGAATTTTGCTCCTTGCAGACCCATCTTCCTGTTCTGCAAATACTGGGAGTTCCTCAAGATTCAGATCTAAGCCCTCTTTTCACTCTATCTTCCTTAATGATCTCATCAAGATCATGCCTTCAGTTACTGCCTGTACTTAAATATTGTAGAAATTTCTTTTGAGCTTCCAACCCGTATGTCCATTTGCCTAGTTGATAACCTTAGTGGGATGACAAAAACACTTTAAACTAAACATGTTTCTCAAAGAATTTGTTAGAAAAGCTAGAAACTTTTTTATCCATAAAAATCTCTTCTCTTTCTCATGTATCTTGTCTGTAACTGAGTTCCTAAAATCAAATATCTTCTGAATCTGTTTCCATCTCAACAACTCAACTTTAATTTTTTTTTTTTTAATTTTAAAAGTTGTTTTTTGTTGAGGGATGGGCAGTGTTGGGGATTGAACCCAGGGCTCAGTGCATGCTAAGCACAAGCTTTACTACTGAAATATGTCTTCAGCTCCTTGACTTTATTCTTAACCCACTAAGTCCCAATTCTGTGACTATTTCAATGAAATTAACACATGTGCATTAAAATAGATTGGAAAACATAATCTAGTTCTCATATAATTTATTATTTAGTATTAATTACAATAACATTAATGAATATTATCACTAATCATTCATTTACTACTTTTCTCAAAAGAATAGAACTCTAGAAATATTTATTTCAAAGTTACCATGATACATTGTTTGCTCAATATAAAGGTTTTTTTTAAACATTTATATATTTACTTCAGTTGGACACAACACCTTTGTTTATTTTTATGTGGTGCTGAGTATCTAATCCAGTGCCTCACGCATGCTAGGCAAGTGCTCTACCTCTGAGCCACAACTTCAGCTTTCAATTTAAGTTTTTTGTTCCATAAATGGGATGATGGGACATAATGGGTTAATCTAAGCCACCCTCATCTTTTCCATAGATTAGCCTAATTACCACATTTTTTTCTGTTACAACATGGTCCCGTGCCTCTCCTTTTTAGCCAATATGGCCTTTCAATTTCTCAAATATATCGTACTATCTATCTCCTAGCAGAGTACGTGTTTCCTTTGCCTGAAATGTTTCCTCTCAAATCCCTCCTTTAAGCCCTTTGCTGCCTTCAGATTTCATTTTCATCATTTCTTACTCAAGAATATTTTTCTGACTAGTATATTACCCCCTATTATGTTCTCCCATAGCTCCATGTGGTTTTCTGTTGTAGCATTTATCAGTGTTAGAATTTTCATGGTTTTTAAAATTAGTCACAAAGTAAGCATTGTAAGAGCAGTGTTTATGTTTTCTGGTCACTATTATGTTCCTTAACACTTTATAACACTACCTAGCATTCAGTAGGCATTCAGTAAATACTTGTTAAATATGTTAATCATTTCTCTCCCTTCCTGTAGCTGAGGTGAAACGAGTTGGAGATACTCTTTTGGGAATGGCAACACAGTGTGTGCAGGTGAAGAACGTGGTCAAGACATCGCCTCAGACTCTATCCAACCTCTGCCTCAAGATCAATGTCAAACTTGGTGGCATTAACAACATCCTAGTCCCACACCAGCGGTATGCTCTGTTGACCATTTGATCTTGTAGAGGTACCTTGCTGGGGATTAATGAACAGACAGGCCCTTGGCCAGGCAGAGTGAATCAGACTTAAGAGGGAGAAGAACAAAGTGAGTGCTAGACGGTGCTAGGCAGAGAAGATCCAATTCCTCACCATTTTGTTTTCTCTTCTTTGCTCAGCTCTGCGGTCTTTCAACAGCCAGTGATATTCCTAGGAGCAGATGTTACACACCCCCCAGCAGGGGATGGGAAAAAACCTTCTATCACAGCAGTGAGTAATATGCTTCAGCTTCTTCATAAGGTTCTCCTCTTAACTCTGAGCCCTCAAGACTGTGCATGATTTCCTTCCCTCAGCCCAGGCTCTTCTTGACCCTGGGTAAGACCCTGCAGCTCACCATCCCTTTTACCCTTAAAGCTCTGCGTAATATCTTTTTTGGGGGGAAAGATTAGTGAGAATACAGCCTAAGGACAGAAACTGTTGCCAGTCTCCCATCACACTTGCTCTGCATTTGAACTTTTCTCTTTCCACACTTGCTTTTAGGATATGGGGAAGTATATACCTTCTCTGAAATCCCTCTTAAGGGAGTTACTTAGTTCCTGGGATTGTCCTTTCCTCTKCTCCATCCCCACCCTTAATCTGTCCAGTTGATTAGATATCTCTCCAATGCCTCTTCTGATTTTTTGGCTCCCTGTCTCTTAGAGGCTTCCAAATTGCTAGGGGTCAGCGATTACTTCATACTTCTATTTCTTCAGCTTTCTTATTTCTCTAGGTAGATTTGTCTTAATTTGGTAAGGCAGACAAAACCTATAATATGCTTATTCTGATTTGCTTGTGGCCATCCCTCTTAGGCTATGGTCATTCTCCTTTTTGAAATTGACATACTTCGGGGCTGGAGATGTGGCTCAAGCAGTAGCGCGCTCGCCTGGCATGCGTGCGGCCCGGGTTCTATCCTCAGCACCACATACAAACAAAGATGTGTGTCCGCCAAAAACTAAAAAATAAATATTAAAAAATTCTCTTAAAAAAAAAAAAAAGAAATTGACATACTTCCATCAACTACAAGATGGTCATGRTTCCTGGGTAGATTATTAATTAAATGGAGAAAAGGTTAAACTTGCCCTGGATGAGTCATTGAGTTAGTAGTGCCAAATCTTCACATGTTCTTCTGCAAGGGATAGGGCCAGGCCTTGTGCACGATGCTTTATAGGTACCACACCACCATTGAAAGCAAGTATTCTTATCAGAAGGATTAAGTAAATTCTGAAAGTACAATAGAACAGACTTTTTGAATCCAAGACCCTGTTCATTTGGTTGCACAGTTTTTTYGCTAAAAAGCCTTTCCTCAAACCCACATTCTGACAGGGAAAGTGATATATTGGTGGCTGATCCTTTCTTTTTGATTGTCAGGTAGTAGGCAGTATGGATGCCCACCCCAGCCGATACTGTGCTACTGTGCGGGTACAGCGACCACGGCAGGAGATCATTGAAGACTTGTCCTACATGGTGCGTGAGCTGCTCATCCAATTCTACAAGTCCACCCGCTTCAAGCCGACGCGCATCATCTTCTATCGAGATGGGGTCCCAGAAGGCCAGCTTCCCCAGGTAGGGCCCATGTTGAGGCCAGAGGGCTAGGTGCTTTTCTAAGCTGTTGGCTCTGGGAGATGTGCCAGTTCTTCAGGAGCTTCTCTAAATGGGGTAGGCTTGTGGGCAAGGATCACAACTKAGAGGTGAGTATTAAGCATCTATAGACTTTTCTTCTTACAACAGAAAGCCCTTGATGCCTGTTTACTGGTTGGTTCATATTGGAGACTGCTTTAGATCAAGTCTTTCTCATTCCTCTCCCTCCCTCCCCCAGACCAATGATTCTCAAATATATCAACGTAACCTGGAGGAACTGTTTAAACAGTTTGTGGCTCTACCCTTGCAATTTCTGTTTCAATGAGTCTAGGATACAATCCTAGAATCTGTCAAACTGACAGGTTCCTGGATTTTGCTACTGGGCTAGAGACCACACTTGAGAACCATATTGTTGACCTTTTTTCATAATGTTACTCCTATTTATTCTCACTGCCAACCCTCATATTCTATTGCTTAGACTAGTATACTGAACTGCTTTTCTTAATTACCTTTGTGTGTGTGCATATGTGTTATTGAGGGTCAAACCCAGGGCTTTGTACGTGATATGCAAGTGCTCTACCACTGAATTATATCCTCAGCCCTTAACTACCATTTGATAGTATTATGACTATAGTTTATTGGGCACATCTTATGCTGTGAACTGTGCTGTAGCACTTTAAGTATGTTCTATTTAATGCTTACAGTTGCCAAGGAGAAATAATAATTTTATCATTGCCATTTGACAGATGAGGAAACAGGTTTGGAAATGTTAAATGAGTCTTCATTGTCACTCAAGCTGATAAGTAGTATTGGGATTTGGTCATATTGTTCTTATTCTGAAGTCCATTCTCTTAAACATTGCACTCAATTTCTCCAAGTCATCCATTATTTCCTAAATGCCAGACAAATTTATCATATCACTTCTGTATTCAGAAATCTCTAGTAGCTTCACAAAGCTATGAGTTAAGATTCAACTGATTAGCAAAATTGTCAGCAGTTACTAATCCATACTGCTTTTTAGGCTTTTATTTAATTTCTTAGTCTTCACAATGGCTTTGTAATTCTTATTAGTAACATTAATGGATATAGTGAAAGTGAGATTTAGAGGGGTTATATAACTTGCTGAAGGTGATACAACTATATGAAGCTTGGGTTTAAGCCTAGTTCTAGTTTTTTTCCAAGGTCTTTCCTTTTCTACTGTACAGTCATGTGTGTGTATGTGTACATGTATGTGTGTTGGGGGGTTGCTGTTGGGGATTGGCTCAAAGACCTTGGGCATACTAAGCTTGTGCTCTACCACTGAGTTATACTCCCAACCCCTTCCATATAGTTTTCACTTCCTATTTCTGACGTCTATGATCACAGGTAACTATTGTCTATGATTTTTACACTGTGATGACTTCATTAGCTCATTCATTTTCTTATAATCTTACATCTTTATGGGATTGGATTCATCTACTCCCCTTGCACCTATTCAGGAACTTGTATGTCTGCTTTTCTCTGGTGGTCCAAACCCTATCTACTCTTGGAGCTCACAGGGGAATTCCCAGTATCTTCTTGATCCTGAAGTCGACCTAACTTTGAACATTGGGATTTTAGTGATTGCTCTGTGAACTTTGATTTTGTGTCTTGATGTTGGGTCTCTTTATGCTTGGGAACCAGGAGGGTACTCTCTTCCTAGTCAAGGTGTTATTGAAACATATCAGGTGAACTGAGTATAAGGCTAATTTTTTGGCAGGAAAAGCCTATTATCTCTTAATTGATTGATAAGCATCTGTTTATAAAGGGAGGCTGAGCAAAAAGCCCTATTATAGATGACAGTCTTTTAGTTCAGGAAAGCATATGAACTCAAGAGGAGTTGTGTATCTTTGTCTCCCTCCTCACCCTGTGCCTAGATCCTCCACTATGAGCTCCTGGCCATTCGAGATGCCTGCATCAAACTGGAAAAGGACTACCAGCCTGGGATCACTTACATTGTGGTGCAGAAACGCCATCACACCCGCCTTTTTTGTGCTGACAAGAATGAGCGAGTGAGTGAGGGATTAAGGAGACCACTTATACCCTTATCCTGTCTCCCTTGTCTTGATAAGGAAGGAAGCCCTTGAGATGAAGTCTGGGAATTTAGTCCTTGTCCTGTGCATCTCCCTGGCTCATTCCTTCCCCCTGACTCTTGTGGTCCATCCTGTACCACCTTTTTCCTTTAGTGTCCTCCTTCTCCCCTCCTTCCCTTATACTTCCTCTCCCTCCTCCTAGCTCCTTGGCCTAGACCCCATATATAGAACAACTCCCAGAGAAAGGAAAGGGAACAACCATTTATTGAACTTCTCCTATGTGCCAGATACTGTACAAGGCGTCTTCCTCACAGCAACCCTGTGAGGTAGGTACTATTATTATCTCCAGTTTAACCTCAGAAAGGTTAAAAATCTTAAAGCTAAGATTACACAGGTAATAAATGGCAAGATCAGGACTTGAACACAATTCTGTTTGATTTTAGAAGCCTATTATTTCAAGACCTAGTACCCTCTGGGAACAGTAATTTTTGTCTTGCTTTTGGGGTTCTGGTGGAATCAGAGTAGAATTCAGCCAAGGCCTTTGTTAGAGCCAAGCAGGTCTTGGGATCTTGGTTGTGTTTCTCTCTACACAGATTGGGAAGAGTGGTAACATCCCAGCTGGGACCACTGTGGACACCAACATCACCCATCCATTTGAGTTTGACTTCTATCTGTGCAGCCATGCAGGCATCCAGGTAGCTGGGTTATGCCCTGGGGTTTCCACTGGGTCAAAGATTAGTTGGTGATTCCTACTGCCTCTAGAATATGTGAGTTATCAACTGAGTGGTATTCAAATCAGGATTTCTTTCTTTTTTTTTTCTTTTTTCTTTTTGTAGATGGATACAGTAATTTTTTTTAAAAATTTTTTATTGGGCTGGGGATGTGGCTCAAGCTGTGGCACGCTCGCCTGGCATGCATGCGGCCTGGGTTCAATCCTCAGCACCACATACAAAAAAACAAAGATACTGTGTCCGCCAAACACTAAAAAATAAATACTAAAATTCTCTCTCTCTCTCTCTCTTGTTCTCCCTCTCCCTCTCTCACTCTCTCTTTAAAAAAAAAAAAATTTTATTTTTATGTGGTGCTGAGGATTGAACCCAGTGCCTCACACATGCTAGTCAAGCATTCTCCCATTGAGCAACAACCGCAGCCCCAGGATTGCCTTCTTAATAAACCCTGAGTATATTTGCAAATTGCCCATAAAAGTTTGCTTTATGACACTGGTGGTTTTGTGTCTCTGTTCATGGGTGGGTCATCCAGCCTAGCCATATTCTTAGTAGTGATTCTGTCTTTATTATCAGCCAACCTCTCTGCCCAACCTAGGAAACCTCACCTTCTTATCTTCCTAGGGTACCAGCCGACCATCCCATTACTATGTCCTTTGGGATGACAACCGTTTCACAGCGGATGAGCTTCAGATATTGACATACCAGCTGTGCCACACTTATGTACGATGCACACGTTCCGTCTCTATCCCAGCACCAGCCTACTATGCCCGCCTAGTGGCTTTCCGGGCACGATACCACCTGGTGGACAAGGAGCATGACAGGTGAGGCCTGGGATCAGCCTGGCTTCCTTTTTGCTTCAGCCTGTTCAGACTCTCCTAACTCTCCTTGGGTAGAAGGAAGTGGATGCTACTCAATTTGGTGTCCTTGAGCCCATCTGCCCAATGCCGGATTGGGGTTTTCTCTTAATGTTGGTATGGATATTGGCATACCATCACCAGGAATAGGTGAGGGAATTAGCAGTAGCTCAGTTTACCAGAAAGAACTTCTTTCATTTTTTTCCTTTTCAGTGGAGAGGGGAGCCACATATCGGGGCAGAGCAATGGGCGGGACCCCCAGGCCCTGGCCAAAGCCGTGCAGGTTCACCAGGATACTCTGCGCACCATGTACTTCGCTTGAAGGCAGAACGCTGTTACCTCACTGGATAGAAGAAAGCTTTCCAAGCCCCAGGAGCTGTGCCGCCCAAATCCAGAGGAAGCAAGGAGGAGGGAGGTGGGGTAGGGAGGAGTGCAGGAGGCCTTGTTTCTTTCTACAGAGGGGGTGTAACGGTGGGGAATAGGGCCAGCAAGACAGACCACCAGCCAGAAATCTCTGATATTAACCTCATGCTCCCCACCCCTCACCTCATCTCGTCACATCTGGCCCTGACCCCACTGGACCAAGAGGGGCAGCACTGGTGCCCACCATACACACAGGTGTCTCATGTGACTCACAGTGCTAACTAAAGACTCATGCTTGACAGCTTGGTAAGGTCGGCTCTGTAGCCCTGCGGACAAAAGCTGGTAGGTTTGGGTTTGCTACTTTAGTTGGAAAAGTAAAGGGCTTGAGAAAGTGGGTGGGAGGAGGGAAGGATTTTTTTTTTTAGGAGCCTTAATCAAAAAAGGTCTAGATTTGTCTAAAAAGAAAAATGAAACCAGACCCAGATCAATATTTTAGGATACTAGATGTTTTCATGGGTTCAGAATCCAGTTTGTAGGAAGATTTTTAATGCTAATAGTTTTGGTTGCTCCTCCCCAGCTGCCACCCCCACCCACCGCCCTTATTCCTCTCCACATTTTCTACCCCACCCTACGCCTCCTTCCTGACAGTCATCCAGCCCTCCTAGCAACACTTAAGGCACTATGGCACTTAGCTCTGAAGTGACACGACCCTGTCTTCCTTCCGCCTGCTGGTGGGTAACCAGTGCCTTCCCTGTAATGGTAATGCTGCAGAACTGCAACCTTTTGTACCTTTCTTTGGGGGATGGGGTGGGGGTGGGAGAGGAGGTAGGTGGGGAAGAAATATCCTGAACACAACAAGCCTCCAGCCAGAATGCCAGCTATTTTGCATTTAAAGGAATTGACTTCCACATTCATTGAGCTTTGGAAAAGATTACAACCTCAAGATGGTTAAAATCCATTGACATTTGCACTTTCAGACGTGACTAGTCTCGGAGCTGCTGAGATGACTGGCCCTTGGCCTTTCCACTTTTGCCTCTTTTTTCCCCATACCTGCCACCCTGCCCTGGTCTAGAGTTACTTTCATAGCATTTCTCACTCTTGGCTTCTTTTTTTTCCCCTGATGGTCAAGTTTCTTGTGTTTCAATATTTCTTAAATGGGGTGTCTTATAACAGAAGATCCTTAGGTTTAAAATAAGAAAAAGAAAACTAAATGTTATTTTTATACAACAACTTGAGTCTATTGCCAAAATCTGGAAATCGCTCCCATGCCTGATGAGTTTACATCCCGGAAACATTGAGCCATCAGAAGGAACTGTGTACCTGACTTGTCTTCTGGCCTGGCTAGGTAAGGGGTGGTAGTCTCCCCAAGGTGGAGCTCGGACTCTATCCTTCCTCTGTGCAGAAAATACCTTTTTCTTGCTGCAGGCTCCCTTCTCTGCACTGTCCTGCACTCTTTCCTGCAAATGCATCTTCTCTTCCTTTGGACTGGACTGTCCTTTGACTCATCCCAGATTCTAGCCTGTCCTGTGGACAGGCTGGGAATTTTGCTGCTCCCTAATGCTTCTGTTTACACAAAGGAATTTTTCCTGGTTTCCCACTAGGGCATGTGAGTGGGTGGCATGGTTTTTCCTTTTCTTTTTCTTTTTTTTTTTTTTTTTTGTCTTGAGATATGGGGTTTGGCTCTCTTGCAAGACTGGAAACGAAGGGGGTTCTTATGCTGACCTTGAAGCAAGGTCCCCTCTTTCCTTGACTGTTCTCCCCCCCCCCCCTCGTGTCCTGAGGAGTTTCAACTTCAGTGGGGAAATTCCTCTTTTTGAAGAGCTTGGGCTTGGGTATCCCCCTCTGGTTATGAAGCCATGATACCTGAGATCTAGCCCAGGCTTGGAGGCCAGCTGGGAGAAGGAGGGTCTGAATCCTGGTCTGTGGAGTTAGAGCTACCCTTTTCTTTCCAAGGCAGCCCTTGTACAGACCCAGATTTGCTATGCAAAACAATTTATCCCAGGTTCTGTTCTGGTTGGCTACATTGTTCAACAACTTCATAAAACGTAGCACAAACATTCATTATGGAGAAAGCAACAGGACTGTTGAGTAACTCCTCCTATATTTTTTTCCTGCTGGCTACAGTATGGGGTGCCCCATGGGCACAAGCCCAGCTAAGGAACAGAATGGAGGGCTCTGGGAGGAGGCAGCTTACTGGAGAGCCTACATTCCTTACACAAGTGCCTAAAGAGAGTGATGCCAACACTCCATCTGCCCTGTCCATCGCCTTCACATACAGTCTACTTCATGTTCTGTCACCCTTTAGGGAAGGAGCTCTCCTAGGACAGTGGGCTCTGCAAGTTCTCTATTTGGGTACATTTTGGGGCTGTGATAAGGGCACTATTCCTGGAGGGTCTAGTCATTCACCAGCATTTGCAAATGTCCATAGGGAACAGGTGGCAGTCCCTTCTTGCAGCAGCAAGTTTGTGCTCTCTCCTTCTCTATCTCTGCCTCACTCTCTCCAGTTGTGTTTTAAGCTGGGGCTTGAAAGGCATATTTGGTCCTTTGGCATTGCACATGCCTTTGAAGAAATAAAAGCAAGAGAAGCAGTTTGGGCAATGATAAGAAAATTACTTCTTGCCTAATGTAATGGAAAAATATGTTTGAGACTTGAAAAATACCCTTGACAATGTTGATTATTCTTGTTCGAAGGGTGTTACACGCACAGTACGAARTGGTGTTGCAAGCAAGCCAAAGCTTGGTTTAAGTAGTGCTTCTTACCAGGCTCCAAGGAAGCACTGAGAGGGCCCTGGTTAGACTCATCCTCTTAGACAGGCCTCTAACTCCTTTTGTCCCACTGTTTTGCCTGCCTTTTCCTATTCTCACTTTCCTTGGCTTCCTCTTCCTTTTTTCTGTTCACTCAGCTTGCTTGATGGCCTGCCTGCCTGCCTGTCTGCCTATGTGATGATGAATTCTCTGCATGGCTGCAGTGATCCCACTGTTAGTTGACAAAGTTAGGCTTAACCCCTTGTCTGCAGAAGACCAACAACCTGCTCCCCACACCCAGTGGTATTAACCCTGGGTTGGACTCTCCTCAAGCTTACACTAGGGCAGAGCAGTAGGTCTGCCCAACTGGCATGAAATCAGGAGGGTTTCTGTCAGTTCCATATTTATCCACTCCTTGGATCTGGTTTCTCTCATATTTTCTGGTTCTGCTTCCTTTTCTCTTTACCTGAGACTTCCCTTTGCTGAGGATATTTCAGGGTTGAGCTATTTGGGTATTCAGGGTTGGAGAGTTAGAAGATAGATACAGAGGAAGAAGGGAGTGTTCGGAAGAGAATGGAGAGAGTTTGGATTAAAGATGAGAAAGGAAAGCAGTGCTCTTTGTCCAGTCCAACACGACCCTTTGGTGTCGAGGTGCTACTGTTGGCTTCTGGGGTTAAACCTGGGGCTATTGTTGCTGGGAACACTTAGAATAAGGCTAAAGAGGGTACCTAGAAGTTTGAAACCTCCCTAAAAAGCTCCTAGTCCCCACCTGTGAGATAGCTCCTCTGTGGTGTCCTCTTTGGCTGAGAAGCAGTGTTTTTGGATGTTTCTTTTTTCTTTCTTTTTTTTTTTTTTTTCTTGGTCCAGAATGATGTGAATAAGACTGCACACATGATGAACAGCCAAGAAGACACTGTTTTCTTACCTTGCTGATGTGGTATCTGCAAGGCTAGACCTGGCATCCTGTGTGACAAAAAATGATGGAAGCTCCTTCCTTTTCAGGGTAGAAAAGTCATCTCAAACTAGCCAAAAGGCAGTTTTGGAAACAATGTTGGGGAAAGTAATTTTTATTTATTTACCGGGTTTGGGCAGATCCAGGATGGTAGCTGGGAAGCCTTTCTTCTTCAAGTCTGATCATGGCAGGGATATGCAGGGCACTCTTCCCTCTAGGCCTTCTAAGCAGACTGGGGAGGAGGGAATTCTCTGGTTTTCTCTTTCCCTCCACTTACTAGGACTTGCCTCCTCCCTTGGCCGGGAGAGAGGCTGGGTTGGTGCTCTCCCCTTACTCTACTCCTGACTTAGAACCTCTGGCTGCTGTTTGGGAGCCCAAGAAAGGGAGTGGAAGGAATGGGCTCAAAACAAAACAATGATGTGGGGAAGGCAGATTTCCTACTTTAAAAAGGAAAATGGGAAACTCTCCAAGAATTGTGCAAGTAAAGACAATGTGTCCAAATGCACTGAGTCCCCTGGTGTAGTAGCAATAAGGAAAAATGAAATGACTTTCCTGTACACACAGTCCAACCTGATTGGTGTGTGATGTTGCACTTAGCAGCCATGTGGTGGGCATGTGTGACTACTCTGGGTTTCACTTTAGTTTCTAAACTTTTTATCCCTCTCAAGTCCAGCATGGATGGGGAAGTGTCCCTGGAGCCCCACAGCTGTGTACTTGTTTGCGTTTGTTTCCCTTTGAGACTTGTGTTTGTGTCCTGCTTTGAGCTGTACCTTGTCCAGTCCATTGTGAAATTATCCCAGCAGCTGTATTGTACAGTTCCTTCAGAAGCAAGCAACAGCAGCAGCACAATTCTGTGTTTTATAAAGACAACAGTGGCTTCTATTTCTAAAGTGCAGTCTCTCTCTCTTTTTTTTTTTCCTCAACACCCCCCCCCAAAAAAAAAAAAAAAAAAAACTTTGGGATTAACTACATCTCTGATAGTTTTTAGGATGAACTAATAGATTGTTATGCAATCATACTTCACAGGGCCTCCAAGTATTCATTCAATAAACATGCAAAGCACTGTGACAGCAGTATTGAGGGAGAAAAGGCGGGCACAATTCAAGAACAAGGAAAATGGGCTAGAAATGTAGCTGAGTGGCAGAGTACCTGCCTAGCAAGCACAAGGCCCTGAGATCTATTCCCAGCACTGCACAAAAATTAAAAACACAAAAATGAGTAACAGAGGACTTCCTTAAGGAGCATCAAGTTCAGTAGATGTGATTAGCTACAAAGTCCCCTGGTACAGGAGAAAGATATTAAGGGACTAGAACAAGGCTGTGTATCAACAGAGAGAAGAAAAGGCAGATTGAAGATAAGAAATAGAATTAGACTCCCTGGCTGATAAAAGGGGTAAAGGAGTAGAGGCCAGTGCACAGGTTTCTAGTAGGAACATGTGAGTATGTTGTGATGTTCTAATAAAAATGGGATGTTGTGATGAAAGATAAGTAGCTTTGAATAAACTGAGTTTTGAGGCACTTGTGAGGCAATGAAGTTCAAGCTTCCAGTAAATATAGTTTTGATGCCAGGTAGAACTACAAAACACAGTTATAGATATTGGAGTCATATGTGTATAAATGGTAGTTAAAACCAAAGGCATGATGACAGCTGAGAAAAAGTTGAGAAAAACAGTGAACCACCCTAGGAAATTCCTTTTAAGGGATAGGAGAAACAGAACCTAAGGTAACAGTCAAATCAAATCACTAGTAGATGCCTCTGGGTGTGTGTGTGKGGGGGGACTGGTTTAACAAGGTGGGAGAAAAGAGAGAAGATGGTCCAAGAAATGATTAACAACATGAACTACAGAAAGGGAGTATTTTTCTCCCTTATTTTACTGTCCTTTTCTTTATCTTGTTTGAGATTTTAACAACAATATTACTTATCATTCTCCAGTAATTCTCAAAAATGAACATTGGGGAAAAAAAAGTAAGACTAGGTCTTCTATGTTATTCACCACAACCAACACCACTACCACCTCCAACTTTCTCCTGTTAAGATACTTGTAAAAGAATAAATTTTTGTTTTTGTTTGTTTGTTTTCAAGCAGCATCTTAGATGATGTACTGGTGCACTAGATAGCACTTAACTTGCTGTGTTTATTTTCATGACTTTTCTTCTCCAGAACCTATGAATTTCTAGGAGTAGAAACTACATTCTGTTAATTTTTGTCATGAGTGTCATAGCATATACCAACATTTGAGAATGGAAGTAAAATGAATTAGTAATCTGTGGTTCATGAATATGGGACTGGGGTCAAGAAGTGATACTGAGTATTGCAGGATGGAACAGCATTCCTGAGGCAGCATTCCTGAATCTTCAGGTAAGCAGAAACTTCACCAGATTATCATCTTTTCCCACTTTTTCCCCAACTTTGGAGGTTCTGTGGCTTTGTACCTTAAGCTGGAGTACAGTTACCAAGCATGTTAGTTCTGGCATTTCTCCCTAGTACTGCTGGAGCATTGTTATATTTGTACACTGGGGGAAGGAAGTTGGTTCAGGGAAGGATTCTGGCACAAAGCCCTGTAAGAAATCATCACTGGCAGCCGGTATGTGTTTAATGGGCCTAGCATTCCTCTGGAGGCCCAGTGCTGTGACTTTTCAAATTGCAGCGCTAACCTGTGGCTGCCACCTGCCAGATTCCCTTGGGAAAGAGCCAGTGAGACCCATGCTGTTTTAGAAGAGCAAATTGGAACATGAAGTAGATGTTTCCCAGTTGAAATAAAACAAAAGGGGCTGGAGTTGTAGCTCAGTGGAAGAGTGCTTGCCTAGTATGTGTGAGGCACTGGGTTCAATTCTCAGCACCACATATATAAAAATAAAGGTCCATCAACAACTAAAAAATATTTAAAAAATAAATAAAATGAATTTATGATCTTGACTGGTAGTATAGCTTAGTGGAAGAGTACTTGCCTAGAATACATGAGGCCTCGAGTGGGATCCCCAGCCCAGGTGGGGTGGGTAGTAGGATGAACATTATGACAAAAGTTTGCTATAAACATCAGTTTTAGAAATGAGTGATTTTTAAAGGGCTTCCATGTTTGTCTATTGGTTACTTCTCAAAGAAACTGGGAGCCCAGGGCCTGTACTGTCTGGTCCTAGGGCCTAAGGTTTTGAGTGAAGTCTTGTCCCTGTACCCCTGGACATCCTTTTTCAGCATTGATTGAATAGCCTTACTTCTGCCCTATTAGTTGACAAGATATTATGCAGCTCCATTCTTGTCTAGCAGATGGGGAAGAGTGAACCTGGATATTACTGGATGTTTCTTGGCTTGGCTTAGGCCCCAGAATCTCATGGCAGTTAGGGCTTGGGGGCTAAAGGAAAGGATTATAGTGCAAGGAGATATTTAAAGTTCTGAATCTGATCCATCCCCAGGCTAAGGTATGTACTGCTTTAAATAGAAAGTATTGTTGAATTGGAAAGTTAGCTCTACCTTTTTGCTTCTAGCTTTCCATTTATTGCTCATGTCTATATGCTGAGGAAAGCTTGCTGGCTTCAAAGGTATACTCAGCATGACAGAAGAAGTCTTTCAAAGCAGCAAGATTGTGGAGGAAGGAGCTGGGAAGATGGAGTTGCTGGGGAATAAGGCACATTTAGAAATCCTCCACTTATGCATCACACCTGCTTTTTCCAGGACACCATAGCAAGGATTTTTAGGCCTTTGTGGTTTCCCTGCAGGAACATACTGTTCATAGACAAGTCCTCAACAACAGTGTCACTACCATCTTCTTATCAATGTCTTTTGGGGCAAAGTAATATTGAGAGCCCTTTCTAGGATGTAAGCCCTTAGGCTCTCATCCCCATCTTCCAGAGGCAGGGAGATTTCCTCTTAAAACGGGGGTAGGGAGTTTGCCTAGCTGGTGTGAGGCACTGGGTTTCATCCTCAGCACCACATAAAAATAAATAAAAATTAGATTCTTACCAGAAGGTGGGGGTGGGGGTGGGGTGGAAGCTCCCAACCAGTTCCCCCCTCCCCAGCAATGGGGGTCAAATTTGGGTGCTTTAACCCTGAGGTATGTTTCCCAGCACTTTTCATTTTTTTATTTTGAGATTTCAAACTGACCTTGAACTTGTGAACCTCCTGTGTCATCCTTCCCAGTAGCTGGGATTACAGGCGTGCTCTCCTGTGTTTGTCTCTGACCAGGTCTTTAGAAAATGTCTATGAGCTGCTAATGGGAATGAGCTGCAAAAAAAAAAAAAAAGTCTTGATTACTTAGAAGTATTTGTTTAAACAGTATCTGCTATGTAACTGCATCTTCATAGCAATCAAATAGTTTATCAATTACCTTTAATCACATTACAATGTTCTGATTAAATTGGTACAGATCAGGAAACCATTTCACATGACAGGAAGTCCTTATTTAAGTCCTCAAAGGTTGGTTAACAAAGTGAGTAATTAACACCATATAGCCAGATTGCAGTCTTTTGCTCTGCTACCTTTTGTGTCGATTTATCCTCATACTTGTGGTCCCAAGATGGCTACTATAATTCCAAGAAGGAAATACTAGCCAAACAGTGTCTACCAGAAGAGGGACAAACTGTCACCAGTGTCGCATTTCCAAAGCAAGAAAAATCTTTCACAGGAATGTCTAGCAGATCAGTCTCCTGTCTTTATTTACTAGAAATCACTCATCATCTTACTCCTATTCTGTCATTGGCAAAGCAAATAAGATCATCCTTCATGAGTAGCTTAAAGTAATCAGGAGTTACCCTTTGAATCATGTGGAAGGCTAGGAAGACTAATTGTGTCTACTAGCAAAAAAGTAGGCAGCTGGGCACACTCTCTCCTCTGCACTGGGTAGCTGATATCTCATGCCTTTCCCTGATGACCACATTTTCTCATGTGCTTATTTGCTCTATCCTGATCTCTTCGTTAAAATTATTCTCATCATGGGCTGGGGATGTGGCTCAAGCGGTAGCGCGCCCGCCTGGCATGCGTGCGGCCCGGGTTCCATCCTCAGCACCACATACAAAGATGTTGTGTCCGCCGAAAACTAAAAATAAATATTAAAAAAAGATTCTATCTCTCTCTCTCCTTCTTACTCTCTCTTTAAAAAAAAATTATTCTCATCTTTTACCCTTTAAAAAATTGGGTTGTCTTATTTAGCTGTATTTTAGATAACTTCTTGTTGTTGGATATATGTTTTGTAAATATTTTCTCCCAATCTGTGGCTTGCCTTTTCATTTTGAAGAGCTGAAGTTTTCACTTTTCATGTCTAGTTTATTAATTTAAAGCTCAGTTTATTGCCTTTTTAAAGTTTTCTGGTTTGTGCTTTTTGTATCATATTGTAAGAAATTTTTGCATTGGGTGACTGCAGAGGCACTCAACATTCAGAGGGCATTGACTTCTCTGCACCTGAGATTTTTGTATCATTTTATAGTTTTTCCTTCTGAGAACACATCAGAACCATAAGAATAAGACCAGAATTTTAGCTTGCTTCCTGAGCTCTATCCTTGAAGCCCATTCATTTACTCATCCACCCAACCAACAAATATTTACTAAATGCTGTTGTGTGCCAGGCACTGGCACTGTTTTAGGCACTGAGGCAATGGCAGTTAAGAAGAAATTCAAAGATCTTTCTCTGTTCCCTTATGAGCAGACTCAGTTGAGAATGACTTATCCAAAATCAGGGCATAGTGCTCGRGGAGAAACTGTTGAGCTTTGCCTTTGGCAGGCTGATCCAAACCTTTTTGTCTTCCCACTTCATGATAATTCATGAGCCTTTCACATGGACTTACTCTGAAGAGGTGGGATTCTGGAAAGCAGAAGTAGCCTAGGCATCAGAGACATTTATTGAATTGAATCAGAATTAAAATTCTGCCCCATCAATGTCCAAAAAAAAGGACAAGTACCC